GATGTCCTGTTAAGCTGTGAGGCAGGAGGTGACTAGTATACATCTTGATCTTACCTGCTGGCTCTCTTAGTTTATTCTTGGTAATATCTGGGCTGGTTTTGGTCCTCCAAGAACCAAATGCCAATATCAGGATAGTATATTGCAAAGGCCAGTGGGTCATGTCTGAAATTTGAGTCTTGGTTTTTCTGAAGTGAGAGCTTCCATGGGGAGCTGATTTTCTATTGGCCTCCTTTTGTCCAGTAGATGTTTGTCCATTTGCATCTTCAATTGGTGTCCAGGAAACATGGGAAACAATTCAGTGGAACCTACTCTTTGCTTCATTTTAACTGAAATTTCAACACATATTTACCAATAATGGCACATGGTTCACTGCTTGTTCATCTCTGCAAATGAAACAGTTATATGCTTCAAGCTGTTTTTACTATAACATCTGCACTCCTATTTTATCAGCTTGAACAACAGCTATTCATAAGTTTCAATTATTTTCTTTCTTTCTTTCTTTCTTTCTTTCTTTCTTTCTTTCTTTCTTTCTGTCTTTCTTTCTTTCGGGAAGAATCTAAGTCTGGCATAGCTGGGATCAGAGTGGTATTCCTCCACCGACATCTAGAATTATGTTTTGATACATAATGCCGGACATTGTTTCACATGGCTATTGAGATGATGGAATTAATCGTGACTGGAAGAAATAATTTTCATTCACATAATAATAGGGTTTGGCATTGGCATAAGAATGGAAAAAATAAGAATAATGGTCAGAACCAGAAAGAGTGAGGAGGCATTTATGTATGAGAATTTCAAATTTTCCTAATCTGAAATTTGAAATCTGGAAATTGGGTAATACGTGAAAAAGACTGTAAACCTTCTTGTTTAAGCTTTCTTTGCTGCCACTTTCTATCTCAGTGCAGCCTTGGGTGATTAAGCCTCCTTTGGTCTTTTTGTCCTTAGCTACAAAATGGAGATACTTATCTAAGTATTGTGAACATTAAATGAGATAATATATTACAAACGCACCTAACAAGACAGTCTTTTGTTGTTCTCTCCCAGCTGGGATGTGACAATAAACAATAAAAGGGTCACTTTTGAAGTTAGATATTGACGGTACCACAGTCTCTCAGTCTCTCTCTTGTGCCTCCTTTCTCTCTCTCTCTCTCCACTTGCCATGGGGGAGCCATGCTGTATGTGAAGCCAAGGACAGGCCCGTGTACCAAGGAACTTCAGCTTCCTTTCAACAGCTCTATGCCAAGCTTGGAAGTGCATTTTGCAGATCTGACCAAGCTTCAAGTAGATGGGTTAACTGTGGTCTTTGTAGTCAACCTGAGCTAGGACCACTGAGTTAAACCACTCCTGATTTCTTGAACTACTCAAACTATGAGATGAATACTTTTTCAAGCTGCTAAGCTTGACTTAATTTGTTATGCAGCAGTCAACCACTAATGTGTAAAGTTCAGGAAAGTGAAGTTTACAATCTAAGCTAAGTGATACAGGGTGAGAATTTTGACTGGAACAAAGGGTGAGAAAGAAAATTAAATATTAACATCCAAAAGTACATTTTGTCACCTAATAAGGACTTGAAATCACTGTTCCAACAGGTGTGCTGTTAGTTTGATGTAGATATTTTGAGATATTGATTACTTTCAGTCCTTTAGCTGGTGTGGTGAAGTCTAAGGAGGCTGGATTATGAGGTCCCTTTCAGTTATGATACATGAATTACAAATAATAGAATTAATAGACAGATTATTGGAAATGGTGATATGAAATGAAGGATAACCAATGCAACTGCATTCCCAAGTTTTAAAAAATATTAATTGACATTTAATAGTTGTTCATAATTTTTGAACTTTATTGCTCTAGATGTTAGACAAAAACTTGGCCTCCAAATCTATTTGGGTGTATATTACATAAAAATAACTCTAGTTCCTTGAAAAGAGAAAAATGTCTGCAACTATGTTCATAAAAGTTTTATTCAATGTTATAGTAAGTCCTATGCATTGCTTTATATTGTGAAGGCATATCTGTATTTATAAACAGCTATTTCTATACTTAAATTTTGAAAAGTGTGGTAGAACCATAAATAATTTTAAGAACATAGTTATAGGATTCCATGTAAAAAAGGATTTCTTCAGGTTAAGTACACTTTGTCCTCTGTCCTCGCAGTATTGTGGTAAAAGGAAAGAAAGAAAGAAAAGAAAGAAAGGAAGAGAGAAAGAGAAAGAGAAAAAGGAAGAGAAGGAGAAAAAGAGAGAGAGAGAGAAAAAAAATCAGCCTGTGAAATGGCCAGCAGAGGTCCCCAGCCCCATAGTTTATCTCCTCTATTACTAAAAACCTGTACCCTACTATGCAACTGGTTGCAGGGACTGGTTTGCTTACTTCAGATAACTTATCACAATGGACACCCTACAAGCTTAAACTGCTACTGGAAAAGAATATATTCAAACAAAACTCTAACCAACATGTACAAGCAGATGTGATGTGTTGGAAAATATTATACAAATACAAAAGGTTGAAGGAGTAAAAGTATAAGTTACATATTTGTAAATCAGTGGTTTCTGGAAAATAATTCACAGATAAACATGGAGCATATAGAGGATAAAACAAACCATCATCTGTAAGTCTCATTTCTGAGCTTTTCCATTTTGTTCTTTCTCAGTTTGGACTTGTTCTACTTGTGAGGAAAACAGTAAGACAATCTAAAAAGTTCAAAAGTGTACTTTATCATTAAAGGTAAATTTTAAAGAGGAAAAACATCTGAAACAGGAGTAACTCCTTGGAGGTTATAGATATCTGAAATAATTAGGTAATGCTTCTGAGTCACCTGTCTTCTTCAATCTAAGTTTTATCTTTACTCTGGTATCACTGTAAAATTCTCTTAAGAAAGAAAAGTAGATAGCATGATAATTGGAGAAATTTGGGGGTCTATCTTGGTAGGACTTACCAATTTTTGATATTGTTTTAGGGACAGTTGCCGATATGTGTAAAATATCCAAGGCTGACATTTGATCAGAAAAAGAAAACCAAATTTTACAACAGTGGCCAAGGCACAGACTCTCTGGGGTCAGCATCCTGACCTGTGTAGAGCCAGGAGGGGTGGCTGCTCATGAAAGGGACGTGGTGAAAAGGAAGACAGGCCAAGGAAAAAAACTAAATGACTTGTCCTGACGTGTGCTCCATACAGGTGGAGTAGACCCAATATTTTGGTTACTTTTTGTGGTGCTATTGAGACAAAATACCTGATACCCAAAGTGAAGCAAGGAAAGGCTTATTTAACTTACTGTTTTAGAAGGTTTTAGTCTCCATTTAGCTAGTTTTAAGGCAGGCTGAGGGGCAGCTGTTTATGGAGGCTGCAAGGGACAAGAATGAAAGGGCAAAAGAGAGAAAGGACCCTTCCTTCTCTCCCTTATATCCCTTATTGTAAGCTGGCTACCTGTGCCTGGGTGGTGCAGTACTCACACTGTCAACCCCAGCATTGGACAATGAACCAATCACAAATGCTGGGTTTAGCTGCCTCCATGACTGCATGAGACTTGGTGGGCCACCCGGACACAAACCATAACAGCCAAGAAACAGTATAGCCTGTTAGACAAAAAGAAAACAAAGATGCCAAGGTGTGAAATTATGATAAATGATCTCAAACTAAAAGCAAAGAAAAAGTGACTTTCAGGTAACTATGTTGCCATTTTGTTCTGCATTAGTTTTTTTACCTTTTCTTTTCTTTTTTGGTTTTGATACTATGTGCTGTTCATGTGTGTGTGTGTGTGTGTGCGTGTGTGTGTGTGTGTGTGTGTGTACACATTGGCTGTGTTGATAATTGGAGGATATTTAGAAGTCAAAAATATGGAAATTACAATTTCCTGTTTTTCAATTTAAAAGTCTACTTTGTATTCCCCTTTCTTAAATTGGCAGAAGGAATTTAAGGATTTTTAAAAAACTTTTTATCGGTACCAGGGATCGAACTCACGACCACCTACTTGCAAGGCAGGTGCTTATGCCACTGAGCTAAATCCCCAGCCCCTAATTTAAGGATTTTCAAAAAAGAAATCCTTTCCTCTTAGTCTTTGTATGCAATTACTTTGTATCCCAGTAATACAGTTTTCCCATAATTGTAAAAAAAAAAAAAAGAGAGAGACATTTGTGTCTTACGTAAGATTTGTTGTAGAGAATTTTCTCTCTCACTTCTCTGAACAGATTCTGCTAATACTAATGCTTTACACATTTGGGCAAAGGGCAAACTGGAAATGAATAACTGTCTGATGTTGTTGATTGTGCAGGTGATAATTTTGTTGGGCAAGAACTCCTACCCCACCTTAGCCTGGCAATTTGTTCATTTTGAATTGTAAAGAGAATTATATTTGCTGAGACATAGATGCCACTTATTTAAAGACTCCAAATTCTAGGTTTTAAGAGCAGAGAACAAAATTTCTGACTTAATTTACTAGTTAGTATTAAAATCAAGTAAGTTTTACATGTGGAATGCAAGATATTTTACTAAAGTTGTGATTCTTGACTCCTGCTAGGCAATGTTTTGACAGCATGTTCTCATCACATCAAAACCGCCTGTGACTTGTGTAACTGTTGATCTCTCTCTCCCCCCCCCTCTCCCTGATGCACATACCCAGAAGAATACATGGCTATTCTAAAAATGATGAGAGAAAGGAAAGATTTTATTTTTTTTTTTAATTTTACTTAAAGAGAAAAAAAAAGCAAAATGGAAAAAAAGGGAAGAAATAATACAGAATTTAAAAAAACAATAAGCAATCACTGGTTGATAAATTATATATTGTCATCTTAGAAATAGTTGTTCAAATTAACAAAATTAAAGCATACAAACTGGACATTCAAACAGTGCGAGTGCAAACAATTCTGTGGGTTTTCTTTTCACTCTGTTGGTGATTTTTTTTGAAGTGCAGAAACTTTTCAATAATGTGAGATCCCAGTTGTTGGTTCTTTGAAGTGTTTCCCATGCAGTTTGTGTTTTGCTCATGAATTCTCTGCCTACTCTGTTATGGATTAAGAACTGGTGGTCAACTTAAGGCCAGCTGGATTACATCAGCATGGCATTGAGTGAAGATGCTCCACCTGAGGAAAGTTGCCAGGATAAATAGGTGGAGAAGAAGGGAGATGTTGAGGGTTGAGGCATTAAGGAGGCATTGTGGGTTCGCCTACGAGTTGCTGTCTGAGCTGTTGGTTCTCCTGGAGAGGCTTTGGTCCTCACATCTAGCATTGCTTCCTGGCTCCAGAGGGGAAGACATGTGCTGCTTGGTCTTCAGGATAAACTCGTCACGCTGCTTTCTGGCACTTACCCGACTGTTCTTGTCACTGGAGGAGCTCGGGGCCTCCGTGTCATCGAGGATGTCTGTGGTGCCTTTCAGGACAGCCCTAGTCTTTGTTGTGAGTGTGACTTCTTAGCTCCAGCGTAGAACCCTCATCCCATTAGCACAGCTCCTTCATCCTGCTGGCATAGACTTTCTGGCTTCCACCGCTCACCTTTGGGTCTTCACAGCTCAGATCCATAAAACAGACTGGCATGAGTCCTTCTTGTGGGCTCTGGACCTCCAGCTGGACTCGTGGGAGGCATTGTCCTGAGCTCTGGGTTTTTATCTGGACTCATGTGGGACATGTGCTGAGGGGTTTCTTGACTAAATAATCTATGTCTTTGGTGTTGTGGATAGATTTCCTGCATTTTCCTGCGTTAACTCCCAGTGACCATTATAAAAATAATATTATAAACTCTATGTCCTAATCCTAGTTGTTCTCTGTGTACAACCCCTGACTACAACATACCCCTATGTCTCCAAGACTACTACCTACCTTGTCTTCCAGTAGATTTAGTGTTTCTGTTTTAATATTTAGATCTTTGATCCATTTTGACTTTAGTTTAATGCATGATGATAGGCATGGGTCTAGTTTCAGTCTTCAGCATGTGGAGAGCCAATTTTTCCAACAGTATATTTAAGAGGGTATCTTTTTTCCAGTGAACATGTTTAGTTCCTTTGTCAAATATCAGGTGGCCGAGTGTCTTTGTAGTTGTGTTTCCTTCTTCTAATCTGTTCCATTGATCCTCAGGTCTATTGGTTTGCCAGTACTATGCTGATTTTATCACTGTAGCTTTGTCATATAGTTTCAAGTCAGGAATTAGGATGCCACCTGCCTTAACTTTGCTGCCCAGAGTTGCCTTTGCTATTCTAGATTACTTCTGTTTCCAAATGAATTTTAGGAGTGTTTTCTCTAAATCTGTGAGGTATGTTAATTTTATTTTCATTGGGATTGCATTGAATCTGCATAACAGTTTTGGGAATATGGCTATTTTCACAATGTTGGTTCTTCCTAGCCAAGAGCAAAGAATATCTTTCCATTTTCTTATATCCTCTTTAATCTCCTTTTTTAGAGTAGTATAATTTTCAGTATATGGATCTTTTACATTCTTGCTTAGATTGATTCCTAAGTATTTCATTTTTTTAGATGCTATTGTTAAAGGTGGTATTTCCATAATTTCTCTCTCAGTGAGTTTTTGTTTGTGTACAGGAATGCTATTGATTTTTGAGCATTGACTTTGTGTCTACCTACACTGCTGAATTTGGTTATTACCTCTAGTAGTCTTTTAATGGAGTTTTTGGCTCTTCTATATAGAATATCATGTCATCTGAAAATAGTGATAGTTTAATTTCTTTTCTTCCTATCTTTGTTCCTTTTATTTCTCTCTCTTTTCTGATTGTTGTGGCTAATATTTCCAGAACTATATTGAATAGGAGTGGCGATAGTAGAATCCTTTATTTTCGTATGTATTTAATTTCTTAAAATGTATTTATTTTCTTAAAAATTGTGTGATAGAAAAGAAAACGAGTCAAACAAGTAAATCAATCATGAGGATCTGGGACACTTGTGGCCCTTTTCAAAGATTGATCTAGTATCTCCAAGAACCTGAGAAAATCAAGTAGTAGCTTCTAACTTTTAAAAAATTTTTTAGAGGAAAAAGTAAATTACAATTAAATTCATGGTAGCTTCCTCAGCAAGTAAACAACTTTTGAATTTGTTTTTCTTACTCTCACTCATGTCTTAAGCAGTAAAAATGAACTGAGTGAGAAGGAACTATAATGGTGGAGACAATGAGTGAAAGGAATCCTATTGTTACTGACACTCTGATTGTTTGATTATGAGGCCCATTTGCTTTCCAAGCAGCAGGCTTTCACATATACTCAGTGCTATAGAAAATGCTGTGTATAATTGTCACTTAGAAAATGATATAACATGGTAGATATGCACGAGGTTTTTCTGACCTAATTACTATAGGCTTTGGTTTTACATAAAGGTGTTTAGATTACATGTAGCACTTTTCTAAACTGGTTGCTGCATATGTACCATTCTAGTGCATTACAAATGTTTAAATCTTTGTATTTTTTCTTATGAAAATCTTTGTTTGCTATTTTCATTTGAGATATTTTATTATATTCAGTGATTTTATGAGCACTATGTAGTCATCTAATTAGTAATAATTAAGAGTAAAATATTTGTTAAGTAAAATCTATCAGAGTGAAACTATTTATGTGCTATAGAGAAACTCATAAACACATCTGTGTTATATACAAGTTAGATCTTATGTTACACTCAACTACATAATGAAACCCAATAAGATTTCATTAGGTTCAGAAGTTCTGATGTGTGTGATGTGCAATTATACTTGTTTTTAATGTTTTAAAATTATCACCAATAGGAAATGAACCTATAGTTTCATGATTCACACTGGAGGAAGCTCACACTTAATCAGTTAATCTATTTGCTTTCTCCATAATTTTTTTTGCTTTTCTAACTTTACTTAAAGTATATGAAGAATTATCTGAGTTAGATGGTAGGTGGATCTATTTTCTAAAATGGTCATTTTAAGGGTCCTGCTTAGTTTATTGTTATAAAAGAATTTTAAGTAAATTTAGTAAAAATTTATATTAATCACTTCCAGTTTTGCAGAAATTTCTTACTCATGACACGTTTTTATTTTCTGCATGTTTTAATAATTTTGAGTAATGCTTTTATAATTTTTTTTGCTGCATTGTAATACAGAATAGTGATATTCACTTTGGGAAACTGGCCATGCATGTAACTAGCATATCTTCATAATTTGCAATCCATTTGGTGCTCTCTCTTTTTCTCCCCCTCACTCTCCTTTCCATCTCTAACAGTCTATTTTTGGGTTTCCTATCATCTTTCCTTTTAGACTGATCATTTTCAGTGCTACATCTTCAAAAATAATTTCAATGGACAAGAAGCCTGTGGGAAAGATCATATTTATTCATAAGTCCTTTTTCTCATTTTTTATTAGTACATGGCTGCAATACATAGTATTTCCATTCCTCGTGGAGAGTTACACCCTAAGCTTAGTTCTCTATTTCAACACGTTCACCTCCCTGTCGCTGTTGCCCCACCTCATGAGTCCTTCCCCGCTGAGAATGATCTGCGTCTTTACTTCCTTTCTCTATCTTTTGTTTTACTCTTTATGTTTTGGGTTTCTAACATAAAAGAAAATGTGCAATATTTAAGCTTGTGTGTCTGATCTATTTCACTTACCATTACGATCTCAAGGAGTGTCCAGTTTTCTACAAATGATTCAACTTTATCCAAGCGATTCTGTTCTTTGCATTTTAGAAAATATCAAAAAATATTTTTTCTCTTACTTACTGTTTTCTTTCCCTTTTTGTTACTATTTATATGTAAAAATATTTTGTTTAGTTTTATTAATTATAAATTTACACTAATTTGGATAAAGACTTAAGTAAAAATTACTTGTTTTCAATGAAAAAATTATACTAAAAATAGTAGCATGTTTGCCTAACTAGGTAAATGAATAGTTTTCAGCCAGTTTAAAAACTCTCTAAATATAATATTACTTAATTATCATTTATAAATATGCAAATTAGATTCCAGGTCCTTTAGTAACTTAAAAAATCATTCTTGTGTATTCATTAGAGCAAGATTTTAATGTTGGGAGGTAAGTTAATGAATGTATACAACTGGAATAATACAATGACACACTTAAATTATGTTATGTCTAAAATTAGGTATATAATCGTGGGAACTGTTCACTAGGTAATTTATTTTTATGATTAATAAAATAGAAAAGTTTTACAATATCAGGTTGTCAAAGCACAGGAAAAGTCAAGGAAGATTTTGAAAGTTAAGAGATCAATTTACTTTTCATTCAGCTCCTTATACCTGGAAAGATTATTGTAAAAATTCTATACACACTGAGGGATAATCTTTACAGAAGATCAGAAAAAGCCTCAGAGACTAGGCTATCGACCATGTAAGCATTCTAAAATAATTTTTGGAGGTACAGATACTTGGATTATTTTAAATAGGAACCATTGTACAGGATAAAAATAGTATCTACAGTATATCAAATATATACTATACAAAACAGTATAATAGTACAAAATAATATGAATGAACCTTATAGCTTTAGTTAGGTCACTTGACATCACTCATCTTCTATTTCCTAAATGATGATATGAAGAATTTGGACTCAGTGATCCATAGGGTTATTACAATTCTAAAATGACCTGTAACCCTAATATTACTGTCATGCAAGTTCAAAAGAACTCTACTATTATGTAATTTTGAAGAATGTATTTATTGAAAGTAACACAAGCTTTGAGATTTTTCTAAGGCTAGTTTATTAGATCAAATTGTTTCATTCTGATTTAGTAAACTTCAGAGATTGCGTGACTGTTACCCTTCAAGGAAAAGCTACTTTATTCCCTTGCAGAGGAAATGAAATGTTATCTGAAAGTTTCATTTCTTTGGCATTCACATACTGAGGAGACATGAAGAAACTGAAGTGTATTTTTACTGTTGGTCACAGTTGGTATTGATGATGCCAAAGAATGTAATCAGTTATTTGGAGTGAGATGTTCAATACTTTTCTTTCTGCGTGCAATGCTTTAAAAACCTTCCTAGGAAGAGAAGTTTATTTTTCATACAGGAGTTGGTGATCCTTTTGAAATGGAATTAGGTTCTTGTTGTCATGGCAACACAGGATTCCGCACTCCTATTTTACAATGTATATTTCTCTGAGTCAAGCTGTTTATAAGTGTTTTATTCATTGGTGGTAGAGCGAGGTTACTGATGTCAAGAAACTAGATCATCTGGAAGACATCCATAGTGCCTGTCAACTTTCAATCTCTAAAACACATTAAGGATTCCAAAGAAAATGATCATCGTGTCTCTTTTAGGAGGAGGAGAAGGGATACTAACATTTATTTCCTGTACTATTAATCAGTGTATTTATTTCTAGTGGTTGTAATAAGCAACTCTTAGATGTCAGTGTCTTAGTATAACAAAGGGTTCCCCCCACTTGCTCATTTCAAATGTGAGCCAGGCAGCTGTCTACCAGAAGGTGATTCATCTCTGTTTAAAGGCTACTGGGAGTACTTCCACTGGATCTTTTTTGTTTGTCAAGGTAAGAAACAAAAAGAGAAAACATGTAGAATTGCACAGTTCATTATGGCTAGTTCTGAGGCATATCAATTCTGCACACATTTCAGACTTCAGTCATATAACCCTTAACTCCAGGGAAAGCAGGGCTGTGTGGTCTTCCTGAGGTCTAGAAAGAGAAAATGAGATTGGCAAACAACCTGTGTCTGCCTTTTTGTTTATGAATGTTTTATGTTTATCTAGAACATCTTCAGGGAAATTCGATTTCTCTATTTAAAGTTCACTTTGAATGATGAACAAATGGAAGCTGATGTATTAAATTTATTCTGGTTGCTTTTCAGGAAAGACTTGTTCACCTTTCTTTTCTTTATAATTCAGGTTGCTTTGAATTTAACCATTGAATTTTTTTTTAAATATATATTGCTACCTTAGAATCTTACTTTAATTTTCAGTTTTGTTTTTGGGGATCAGGAATCAAATTCAGGACTGAGTTTGCCAAGCAAGTGCTGTGCCACTGATGTATATCTTTGGCTCTAATTTTCAATTCTATTGAAGAAAACTCCATAACTTACAAAATAATAATCAAAACAGGATTTTGTAATTTCTTAGAGGCCAGATGAACTTCACTTGAAGTAATTTAAAGTCAGTTACTGTGTTTGGAAATATCACTTTTGGTTTCACTATCTGGCAAATAAAAAAAAGAGTCTTCACACTCTCTTTGCTTTCTGTTGTTGTTTTTTAGGTCTGCAGTGAGTATTCAGCCATGTGTGGCTGATTAAATGATGCCAAAGGATGCAATCAGTTACATTCCTCAACAGTTCTCCATTCAGAAGTGGAGGCGATGGCCTCTCACTTGGAACCTGGCTGAGTTCTGTAATTGCTTTGACAGTAGAACATTCAGAGATCATACCATGCTGGTTTTTTGATCTCTAGTAGATTCTGTTGGAAGGAAGCCACCATGCTGTAAAGCTTAGAGTCACAAGCAGAGGCCATGTGTAGGGTTCCTGGATAATAATTTCAGCCAATGTCCTGTCTCCAGCTGGTATCAACCATCCAGTTATTTTGAGCATTATTTCAACAGAGCTTTTCCATGGTGTCAGCTCTGGTGCTTTCTGAGCACCATCAATAAGAGACTTCTATGTGTGAAACTGTTTGATTGTGCAAGTCAGTAAGAAATATGAGATTGCAATTAATTAATGTTTCATTACACTATCCCAACAAGTTTTTATCAACCTTTAAGTATGATTGAATACCCTTAGGTTTTAAAGAAATGGATATCTAGCAGATTTCTTCATATATCTATGTATTTATTTATCTTTATCTGTTTATGTTAATTGCAACCTACTTGTTCAACTAGATAAGTGAGTAGATTATTGTTTGAGACTGACTGACATTTCCAAGGAATGGATTCAATAAGATGCTTTTCAAGCTTGGCGGCAGGTCATATTGTTACAGTTTTTTGAGTCACTGTCATAAACTAGAATTTCAAGAGCAAAATAGTCTAAGGAAGTGGTGACAAACTTATGGCATGCATGTTACTGTGTTTTCCTTTTAAGACAAAAGATGTTAGGGTATGAATTGTTTTTTCTAAATTAAAACCTCAGTATTCATGGTTAGTTACAATGTTGGCATTTTGTGATAAGTACTTACTTGGGCTTTGGGTTGCTATTTAAGCACTCATCTCTAAAAGATTTGCCATCGTTGGTCTAAGGGAATATCAAATTCAATAGTTCTTCTCTAGTTGCAGTGTCAAAGAGTAATTGATGGAAAGCTTTATCTTCAGAGAAAATTGCACATTTGGAGCTGTGCAAGAAATGCAGGATACATTGTTAGTCAAATAGTAATAGTAATACTTCCAAGTTAGCTGTGCATTGATTATAGTGAGATAATTTCTTATATGACTTGGAAGATCTAGTAAAGATTAGATTATTTTCAGCACTTCCTTCTTACAGGGATCTGAATCCTGAAATCCTGTCATTGTGACTCAATCTTTTGTGTGCTTTCCTGTAAAGCTCTCAATCAACGTGTAAATATTCATTAGAAGAATGCTATTTGGAACAAATCTTACTTAGGTATTAGATTTTCAGATGTTATTTTTTTGCTAAGGGGAAAATATCTTTTAAAGAAAGTTGGTATTATATTTGAGGAGATACCAAATCTTTGAATAGACAAAAGGAAGACATGACATACATTGTATCCTTCTTAATCATATCTGAGCTAATTCAAAATGCCACAAGTACTTATAATTATAAACATGCTGAATGTTGAAGTCTTATTCTGATTGAGGAGTCCTATATATAGAACATAATTTATAAAACAGTAATGTAAGTAAGTCAATAACATTTACTACTGTTTGATGTTAACTGATAAGCATTCCTTTGATTAACCCTATTCTAGGGCATATGTAAATTTTTGGAGAATGACAATGTGAATTCTGAACAGAACATGAGAGTGCTTTCTTCAGGATGCATCTGCTCAGAGAGGTGATGAGTCTACAAGATGAAAAGGGTCTGTGAGTTTAAAGGACCTTTTGAATCAGAACCATTCCAGTAACCTTGAGTGCACCTCTTGGGTCTGTTCTATGAAAGAGAAGTAAATTATCTCCTATCTAAATCATTGTTTATTTCTTTCTTTGTTAAAGTAGCTTAAACTTTACTGTGCCTAACATACATTAGCTTTTATGATTAAAATAAACATTCTGTTCCATAAAAGAGCTCAACATATGATTTAACAAATCATGTATGTCACTAATTGCCTCTGTAACCCATTGAAAATGATACAGTGGGTTGAATGCTTTCATATATGGAATAATAAATGTACATAAGGAAAGTTTTAGGTTTAAGAATGAGCCAGGTAGGTTCTAAGACTAGTGAGATAACTCATATCCCAGAAGTCTGAGGTACAAAATTCAAAATAAGGCTGCAGAAAGGCATGTCTCGGTAAGATTCTTTTAGAAACAGCTAAATTGCATTGGATTTGCAAGCAGCTACTTTTATTGTGCACACGCATGCATGCACGCACACACACATGCACACATGGTTTTGAAATAAGCATGGTTTATTGAAATATATTGATAAAAATAAAAGGAACAGTAAAAAAAAATGGAAAAATGAAGTCTGTTTTCTCTCTCATAAATCTATAGTACTAGCTTTTAAAAAATATAAAAGAAGATTGTGCACATCAAAACATTTGAGTTCCAATTATAGAAGCTTTCAAAGTTGTTTATTTCATAGAAAGCCATGACATGCTAGCCGGCAGCTTTCTTCTACTTTAATTGTTTTCCAGGAAATTATGAGATGGGAAAATAGAGTCTAAATTTTTTCCTAATCTTAGTATAATTTATTTGAAAGTTGTTGTGTATATGTTTCAACCATCCTGCGAGAATATCTATCATCTAGCTATCTAATAACAAGTATTCTATTGAATATTTGGTGAACACAGTTCTGAAATATATTGCAGTAGGATCAATTTTGTCATATCTATATGACATATAGATATGATGACATATCTATATGACAAAGAGAGAACTGAATGATGGACATATCTATATGACAAAGAGAGAACTGAATGATGGAGAAGATGAGGAAAGAAACAAAAGATCTACTTATTGTCTTGTTGGAATATTTAATTTTCTCCATTCTCTAAGTAAATGCAAGTGACATGGAATAGGAGGAAGACCTCTGTGAGTGGTGAAATATATGAATATGATAAATCTCTCTCCTAATTGCTATGGTGGCATGCATCATATAAGCAATGTGCAATCTCTTGGAGAACCTGAGTAGATAGCAAAGTTGAGAGAATATTTTTTATTCCAGATATTGAGGCTGTTTTATAAGATGTAAAGACAGAAATGTTTCTGGAAGACATTCTGTTCACTCCCATAGAGCTTTTACTGATCTACTGTAAAAAATCAATTTCTAGTTCCATATGTGTAGAACTCCTGTTGAGGTGAAAAGTAAAGGATATGCCTAGATCCAAAGAGGAGGTTGAACTTGAGTTTTCTAAAATAAATTCTACTAGGAAAAAAGTTAACAGGAAATATTAAGGCCAGAAAATTCATTCCGTGCATGATGGTAGTTCTATAATGCTTCTTTTCTCCATGGAAAACTTGAACTACATTAGTTTTTAATTGCTTTGTCAACTTTAACTCTAAAGATTACCTTTATTCCCCTATATAGGAATTTAGGAGGAAAGATAAAAACTAAAAAGTTAACGCACAGGTTTCTAGAAACTTGACTTTTAAAATTTGCAGTTATTTATCACTGAGTAGTAACCTTTGAGTACTTTAGGATGATTTAAACACTTTGATATTCAGATTTAGCAGCTCTAATTTGGGCTTAATGATCATGATCAATTATCGGTGAAAGAGTTTTTGTGCTGCCACTTTTAAACAGAATATATATTTCTAAGCAAGGCCTATTTACTGGCTCTTGTGGACATCTTTTTTGTAATCTTGTTTTCATTTATATTACAATAATGCTTATGATGTTAAATATATTCTGCAAGTAATATTGTGAAGAAATCTTTTGATTGGAGTAAAATCAGTTTGATTAACAAATTGTAAGTAGACTTAGTTTATTGAATCATTTTATTTTTCAATGAAATATAATTCTGAATATTTTATTGCAGTTTTTCATAGAAATCTACCCTAAGCTCTAGACTTCCAGGAAGATGACAGAGTTGTGAGTAGCAGAGAAAAAGCCTCTCGGGGATTTGGTGTCCAAATCATGGAATATAGCAATATGAAGAGCAGGAGGAGGGAAGTATGTCTCTGGGACCCAGAGGGATCTAAAGCAAGAACTGAAGCCCACAGGAAGAGTGAAGAGAGAAACTTCCATGAAGAAGAAGGATGTAAGCTGCACTTTCTCACTTAGCCTGGCTGGACTCACTGCATGGGAGAGGCAGCTTGAAACTGCAAACACTTAGTGACTCCTGGTGACCCCAGAGCTTTCACAGAGAAGGGCACTGGTGGAGTGGAGTGGGGAACTGCAGTGGACAACAGTTTTCTAATGTTTGTATGATATTCCTTTGTCCTCTAGCATTACTTCTAATTGCTTCTTTTCTTCTATTACTCTATTTTTCCTCCAGGCCCTTATAAATTTTCTCCTGTTAGGGTAAAATTGTTATATGAGGGTTTATTTACTGCATACAATTTTCTGGTTTGTTTTATAACCACAAATATAGTTCATATGGTTAACAGTAGCAAATTAATAATTGTCATAGGTTTGTCTTTTTTTTTTTCTTTTGTATTGGGGATTGAGCTCATGACCTCACATTGTTAGGTAGGTGTTTGTGCTGCTGAGCTAAATCCCCATCATTTGTAATTTTTCCAGGCTACATTTGATGCTGTTGATATTGTTGATTGTATCACTTTAACTAAAATAACATAATTGTTCTTACTAGTTGTTTCTCCTGATATACCAAGACTGAGATTGCTTAATGGTCATAAAAAATATTAGAGGCCAGTGCAAAAAACTAGGTGCTGGGCCATATAGGCAATGTCTTCTTGTATCCAACAAATTGAAGAGATGAGATCTTGTATTAAATGCTAAATCCAAAATCCAAATATATCTGGGAAATGTAGTCATTTCCGAAAGTTCTAAATATTAGCAATAAGGCTACTCATCATAGGTAATTTGCAAGCATCAATCCAGGAATTAAACTAAAAAGATATTTAAGCAACATTCAGTCTCAGGTATGTAGCTCACCAAAGGTGAATATAGGTATTACTGAAATGAAACAGTCCAAAAGCTTCTCATCTGGATTCTGAAGTGGTAACAGTGGAAGTCACTAAGCAGATGAAAGATGCTCTAGAAAAAAAATTAAAGTAGAAATAATTTCTCAGATAACTAAAGGGATAGTGACCAGAATGAAAGACATGTTAGTGATGCTAGAACAGATACTGTACAGATAAAAAAAGAGGGGAGCTTAGGAAAATGAAGCACACATGAATGCCTACCACAGGGAAACATGGAATCCACACAGAAGATTCAAACAGATATCTATGAGATTAGAAATTCCATTGAAACTATACACAGCAGAATGAACCAAGGTGAGGACACAATGTCAGATATAGAAGACCAGGAGGAATTAATTCAGCAGCTGCTAGGTGATGCAAAGAAGAATAACGTAAGATTGATTTCAGTCAATAAAAAAAGCAGGAGGTAATGTAAATGACATAAAAACATGTTCACTGATGTGATGGCAGAAAATTTCTATGGCAGGGAAAAATAATTTGGCATAGAGATAAGTGAGACATACAGAACCTAATTATCCATGATCAAAAAAACTCTACAGCAAGGTATATAATTGCAATGACTCTAGGAATTCAGTGCAAGAATAGAACATTAAAAGCTGTTATAGAAAAGAAACAAATTACCTATAAAGAAAAGCCTATCAGAATCATGGTAAACTTCTCAACACAAACCCTCAAGTCAAGGAGAGCATGGAGTGAACTATTTCAAGCCCTAAAAGAAAATTACTTCAAGCCCAGATTAATGTATCCCACAAAACTATCTTTCAAAATTGATGAAGAAATAAGATACTTCCATGATAAAGAACACCTGAGGATATTCCTGAACACCAAACCAGCACTCCAAAATATTCTGAGGGATATTATAGAAAGAGCTAACAATGATTATAAATTTTCAAAATCCTAACAGATGAATCCACAAGACAAGGCAAACAATTAAATAGAGCAAGAAAAAATGGAGTCCCCAACAAGAAGACAGCATAACAAAGAAAAGTTAATACATATCAGTTATAATCATCAATGTTAATGGTCTTGATTCATCAATCAAAATAAACAGACAGCATACAATAATCACATTTAATTCAAACAGAAATTCATAGGCTGAAAGTCAAGAGATGGAAAACAATACTTCTTTCAGTGGGAACCTGGTAAAAAGAAGGGACAGCTATTTTATTTTTAGACAAAGTAGACTTCAAGCCAAGACTGATTAACAGTCCTTGTAAATGGAGCAAGCCAAAAGAAAGAGATAACAATCATAAGTATATATGCACCAAATACCAGTGCATACAGCTACAGAAAATAGATTTTAATGGACATGAAAAATCAAATAAGCACTAATACATTGTATTGTGGAATCTCAATGCCAACTGTCACAAATAGATTGACTAGACAAAAAAAATGGGTGACTATGATTGTATAATTGTGCCACATATGTTACATAAGGTTGCAGGGCAGTTGATACTCCCCTTTGATGGTTGTCAGGAAGCAAGTGGTCATCTTGGGGAACCCTGATGACAAGGGCTGTTAAAAACCAATTAGAAGCTTTTAACAGTGGTGGCTGCTGCCAAGTCAATAGAGATCACAGCTCCATCTGAGAGTCTCAAAAGACCCTAATCAAAGAACGCGACTAAGCTGTGCCTGGTCTTCTGATGCCTAGAGATTGTGAGACAGAAAGTGTGGTTAAAGTACTGAAACTTGCGGTAATTTGTATGCTGCCTAGGACAGTGCACTATGAAAGCCATGGGATCTCCTTCTGCCTCCAACAAGGACTCTGACCTGCAATGACCCATTTAATGAATTTAGGACTAGATTTTTAGGAAAAAGAAGACAAAGACAAGGGAAGAAAGGAAAGATGAGAAGATAAGGGGAATGAAGAGTTAGAAGAAGGCCACAGAATGATTTTATAAATGGATCATTTATTATTTTTATGTAGAACTTTTCTTGAGTGAAAAGTACAACCTTAACTATTTTATTATATAGTATGCTACTTGTGCAGCAAAAGATAAAAACATTTTTTTCCTTTATGCATGAGTCTTCAGTATAGTTACTACTTCATCAGCATTTAAAGGGTTGACTAAGGAAGTTTGTTTTGTAAAGCAAAATATGAATTCATGAAATTTTGTTTTTGTATTTGAGTGTGATATACTCCAGTTCATTATTATTACTATTCTTTTAGACATTTAAATGGATCTTTATTTTTAAAGATAGAGTGATCTTCATGTAGACCTCTGGGTCTTTTTACTATTGACTCTATTAGTCTTAGAGATATTTTACTCTTCAGCATAGGCATTTGATCCAGCTATGGAATATACCATCTTTCCTTGGCATCTGTGGAAAGATTGTTTCTGGGATTTCCCACTGATACCATTCCCATGGATGCTTGTCTTTTATACAACATGTTGTACTATGTGCATGTAATTATGCACCTACTCTCACATACTTAAATCCATCCTAAGTTATTTATAATATCTAACATATTGTAAATGTTATGTAGCTAATTGTCATCCAGCATTTAGGGGATGAAGTTAGGATGAAAAGTTTGTGTTTATTCACTGCAGAATCACTTTTGTCCTGAATATTGTTCACTGGTTCTTGGTTGGATCAGTGGGTTGTAGAAACCACAGATTTGGACTGACACCTGTGCTCTCTGTCCCAGATGTGAAGTCAACCAGAGTCTAGTCAGAAATGGTGTTTAGAATCTACAGTCTGTATGTTAAGTGTATATATTATGGTGTAGTCATTTGTTCTAGGCTTTTTAGTTATTAGAGTATTGAAATATATGGTTTATTTTTAAGACAAAATATGTTAATATTGATATTTTGAATTTAAGTTTAAAATTTCCAAGTACTGAACTTGCTGTTAAGTCCTTCAGACTACCAATGGTGCCTAAGACTTCTGTCACCAGCCACAAGTTTTGGTGTGTGGGAAGAGCCACCCTGACCTCAGGTTAGCTGCTTACAAATTCAGGCTCCTTATGGATTCTTTAATCTTCATGTATCAGGGACATTGACCTGCTGGGATGAGGGGTACAGAGATAGGATGAACTAAGAGACAGAGACCATTGAGTAATTTGCAAAGGGTGCTGGGAGATCAAGGCCTCAGGATGCATAAAGACCATGACTCTCCAGGTGGAGTGCATTGGTAACTGGAAATCAACTTTAACACCAGCTGAAATGAATCAGCATGGTGCTGAGTGTGAATGGCCCAACTGAGGATTGCAGCCAGCATAAAAAGGAGACCTGGAGAGGAAGAGTAACATTGTGGGTTCTCCTAAGCGAGTGTTGTTATTTGAAGCTGTTGGTTTTCCTGGAGGAACTTGTCATGCTAGTTCCCTGCTATGAACTCGGCTATTACAATTGGAGGAACTCAGGACCTTATCACTGAGCATGACTGTAGTTTACTTTGGGGGAGCTTTGGCCATTATGTTGAGCATCATTTTCTGGCTCTGGAGAGAAAGATGCATGCTGTTTAATCTTCAGGAGAAGCTTGTCACGCTGGCTTCCTGATATGAACTTGGCTCTTCTCATCACTTGGGACCTCATTGTTGCTGAGGACAGCGGACTTTTCAGGGGAGCCTTGGTTCTTATTTTGAACATCACTTCTTGGCTCTCATACACACAACCTTTGGCCTTATGGCACAGATCCTTCACCCCACCGGCATAGACTTTCTAGCTTCCACCCTGACCTTTGGACTTTCCCAGCTCAGACTTGCATGAGTCATTGTTGTGGGCTCTAGCCTCCAATTGGACTCATGTAGGGCATTGCTGTGGGATCCAGGTCCTTGGCTCGATTTAATATGTGGATAGATTTCCTAAACTTTCTTTGTATTTAACTCTTTGGGTGATCATCATAAAATAATACTATAAATTATGTGTCCTGTATTTTGTTGTTCTCCTTGAAACCTCTGAGTACAACGCCACATAACTACTATTTATCAGCCAGTACATGGGGAAGGGTAGCAAGTGACTCCGAGAACAGTAATGGTGGTTGCTGTGGGCTAGTAGGAAGCATTCTTGCAAGGATGAGATGGGGCATTAAGGAAGCTATGGCTTTCCCTGGTGATACTTTGTATTACATTGCTTTAAAGATCCTTATTGCCCTTAACTAGTCTTATTTTGTCCTATGAACATCACAGTATCACTAGCCTTAGGGTTTCTGTTGTGACCAGAAGCTGGGGGAGAATTTCCTCATTCCAATTTGACTCAAAGGGCAGGACAAGGACACCCTTGGACATTCTCTAGATTCAGTTTATAATTTGTGGCCCTCAACATTTGCAACTTGCTACAATGTTTTAAAGACATCAAGAAAGTGCTATACTTGTGATTACACTTTATTATTGCAAAAAACACAAATCAGAATTAGTCAAAGGAAGAGGAAAACAGAAAAGAATCTGGGATTAGGAAGGTAGGTTTCGAATGTGAAGTTGATGTGTTTTTAGTAACACATAATTCTCAATATTGATGTGTGGCCACGCATACATGCAGTACTGCCAATTTAGCAAGATAATACAAGCTTTGGTATGAACAGTTTTATTGATATGTATTTCATTATGTAGGCATGACTGAATCATCAACCACTTGGTTGAATACAATCTTCAGCTTTCGTCCCTTTTTGAAGATCAAACTAGTACTGTGTATGGCTCAGAATCCTAATGCATATTGTGTGGTTTTGGGTGAGGCCAGTACCCACCTTAAGTCATCTTATGATCATAGCCTGGAACACAGAGGTGCTCACTGGTGGCCCATACCTGCAATCACAGCATTTAGGAGGCTGAGAGTCCTGGGTGGATTGTTGCTAGTTCTAGGCCCACCTGAGCTACATAGTGAGTTCAATACTGGCCTGACCTACTTAGCAAGATCTTGTCTCAAAAAACCAAAATAAATAAGTAAATAAATAATAAATTTGTGGGAAAATACTCCTGTCACAGACAAAGCCTCATGTGTTGTATGTGGGGTTTTTTGGAGGTGACTGATCATGGGTTTGTGGTGCTGGATTAGTCTCTTGATTGGTTTATAGCTGGGTGTGATGTTGGGAGGTAAAACCTTAATT